CTCCGCGGCGGCAAGAAGCGCACATGACAACAACAACAACAACTACTTCTTCTACTACTACTACTACTACTACTACTACTTTTACTACTACTACTACTACTACTTCTACTTCTGCTTCTACTACTTCTACTACTACTACTACTACTACTACTACTACTATTACTACTACAACTACTACTACTACTACTACTACTACTATTACTACTACTACTGCTGCTTCATTTTTGTTTTGGTATTAAGTGTTTTTTGTTTTTGGGCGCATTCTTTTTGATCCCTCACCCGTTGCTTCGAGCATTTAGGATCGCGGCGTGTCCAAAGCTTGTCCAAAGTGTGTATTACGTTTGTGCCCGTAGTGCTCGTGTTGCATGCATGAAGAAACCTTCGGATTCACAGGCGCTGATGGCTCATTCAGGTTGGTGGTACTTGCTGCTCACTATTTCAGTGGAGACGGCGAGAGAATGCTGCAGTGCCACTTCGGTGTTCTCGTAGTTCTAAATTTGCGCTTTTGTAAAGGAACTGCATGGAAAAGCATGCGAACATCGGTTTAACTTGCGCAAAGCTGGATCGTCCCGCTCCCGCAGTCCAACACGTTGGTCCGCTCAGCTGCAACGTCATGCAGAAGATGCGCATTCAGTCGTTCATAGGAGGGCACCTTGTGTTGTGAAGGCGGGAGCTGGCGGCTTTCGGTCAAGCAGGATCTGACTCTCCTGTCCGACGTGTTGGATTTGAGCTGATGCGTGGATGGCAGTAGACTGGACACGCTAGCTTGGCAGGACCTGGAGGAGCTGGAGATGTATCCGTCCCAGTCAGTGCCGAACTAAGGGGTCATGTCACACATCCAATATTCTAAAGTCCGTCCGTGTCAAAGGCCGTGGTCCGGCTGCCTTCGTTGAGCGACGTTGCGGCGGCGGGGGCCCGCTGCCTGCTGCCGAGGCCGAGGCACTGCAGACCGGTTCCGGAAAGTGCTACGCTGCTACTGCACCGTGCTAGGCAAGAAGTGGCGACTTGCTTGCTGTCTTGCGAGGGCGAGAGGAAGCCGAAGGCTTTGCTCTGGTTTGACTGGGGGCGGCTCCTCTGTTTTGTTGCTTGTGGATGATGGAGCGGTAACTTGAGATGCACTTCGGTTGTGTGGCGATTTTCAGTCAGCTTCACATGCCCACCGCCAGCTTGACGGTGCGTCGTAGCCCATCTTGTACAGGGTGCTGCGACGTACAGCAAAGCCCATAGTCAGCTGAAGTGCTGGATGAGAGGGAATCCATGCGTAGCTGACGCTATGTTTTCTAGGATGTATCCGACCGACATTCGCTCGAGGTTCGTTTCTGTCCTTCGAGGTAGCTGGTAGGGACAGCGTGGGACTTTGTATCCTCCGTCACTACTGTCAAGGCGTGTCACAGGGGGCAAAGGCTTTCAGCAGCCGATTCGGTGCTGGGTGAGTGATGCACCAAGAAAACACAAGGCAGCTCTGTGCGAGTCAGGCTTTGGTGCTGCGGTTCCGACAATGCATGAGGTTGCACAGCATCTGATTTGGCAGTTTTTCCGCAGCGACTGGCTTTAGAAACTGCCTGTTCTCAGTTTTGTCATGTCAAGATCTTCGATTGCGCGAACCACATCAAGAAGCAAGACTCAGCTGGAGAAGCATCAAGCCGAAATAGCACCAGAGCCGGGAAGCCATGTACAAAGTTGACAAGGCCAAATCCCAGCGGGGACTGTTCTGGATGAAAGCACTCCATAAACTGCAGGGAAGCATCGAGGTAAGCTTGTGAGTCTTGTCAGTAGATGATCGAGGCCATGATGAGCTTGAAATATAGGCTTCCTTGATGGTGTAGGAGTCAGCTCCAAGATCAAGGCATTTCTGAAAGCCCCTGAAGCACGACGTCGGAAAGTGCGTACACGCAGCGCTTTTCATCTGCAGAAGCATGACATGGGCTTCGCACCCGTGCAGCGCCGCACTGACGACAACAACAGCGCAACATGCCCAAAGCACAACCAATCTTCTTAGAGCAGGAAGCATGCAAACATGAGATTTTATCACTGTGCAACGAAAAGATGGCAGGCCTCCATGATTCCAGCAGTGATGCGGAATGATCCATGCCTAGCGGCACCTTGGCTACAATGCGAAACGCGGCAGGGCATAAATTGCAACTTTAGCTTGTTTTCTTTGCGGCCATGTGCTCTGGTTCGGAGGCTCGCCCGGATATGCGGCGTTCCATGGAAGAGTGGCCGGAGCCGCAGAGAGGATGCTTCAGCCCGATAGGGATGGCTTCACATCGACGAAGGTGGGGCGGCTCGTTGTGGGATCCGCGTGATCCATCGTCGGAAGCCGAGTCTCCAGCACAACATGTCGCGTGGTTCCGTGCGATCAGCAAATCAGAGTGCGAGGGTGGAAGTGGTTGCGACAACATCCCGCGAGCTTTGCTGAGAGTCATCGGTGGGAACGGGGTGCTTCTGACTCGGTCTCAAGGTCTGGAGAGTTTTTTGGCACCGACTTCACGTGTGGATCGAGCATGCGTGATGTGCCTGGCACCCAGAAGCCTGCAAGCATGTCTGCAAATCGTGTCGGAGTACATTCCATTGCTCCATTCTGGGTCTGATGCTGGCCAGAATCCAAAAACATCAGAAGTGGACGTCGATCCAAGGCTTGCAGCACTGCGGCTTTCGGATGGCGAGAGCGAGCGGCTGGCCTTGGCGGCGGGGTTCTCTGCAGTGGCACGATTTTTGCGAAGAACGTAATCATGAATCGCGGGGCAACTACCTGGTCTTTTGAAGAACTTTTGAGCGTGCACCGTGCAGTGCTGTCTTGTTGTACGCGATGCAAGTTCGTTTTCGTTCAGCACGACTGGATGCAAGCCCATGTGAAGGATGTGTTCCAGCTTGCTGCTGCCGCATAGTTCGCACCTTCCCTCGAGTCATGGTAGCTTCATCCACGTCGAAGTGACAGCAAAGATGCAAATGTGCAACAGTCGAAAAGTTCAGACACCCAAGAAGGCCCGGAAGATCGAGAAGGTAACACGTCGAAAAGCAAAGGACAGAAACGCGCAACAATCCCTTCGGCGTTTTTGACTGGCCTTTGATTCGAGACCAAACGCCGACCTGCGTGCCTAGCGAATGCATTCCTGTTTGATTTTTGAGCCGGCTTGCCAGCTACGTTGGACGAAATCTCCGGCCACCTGCCAAGCATGTTCACTCGCCGTAGCTGCCGAACCGACTGGTACCCAAGCATTGGAAGCTGCGGGTTAAGTGCTGCAGGGATTTTGACAGGGAGAGGTTTACATTCTCGAGATGGCGAAACTATGTCGAATGTGGCCAAGGCGTGGGTCCGTTCCAGAAAGCGGTGTAAGATGTTTTCCGTCCACCGTCGCAGCTGATTGCTTCTTTCGCTGGTGTTTTTTGTCTGCGACTGTGCTTCGCGTTGTGGTACTGCAAGGCCATTGCTGCCACAAGAGCTGGACTAGGCTTTAAGTTCTTTAAGTAAGCGATATGGCTCCAAGCACCGTCTCAGGTCGCAGAGGGGGATTTGGTCGAGGCAGAAAGGCTCCTTGCAGCCTCAGCGGATGCAACTCGGCCAGAGCGCCGGGTGCCGAAAATGAACACACAAAGGCGTTTCGAGCCTTCGAGCCAGGTGACCCCTGCCTTGCATTTGGCGCTTCAGATTGGGGCCGCCCCGCAGGCGCCACCATCTCGAGTCTGCACAGCGGCATGCAAAAGGCTAGTAAAACTCATGCCCCATGACCGTGTTTCTGCTGGCGAACGTTGGATTCTGGGACAGTCGTGTCACTTCGCAGTAGAGTCTCGAAACTTATTCATGCCACAGCACCTGATGATGTTGCGCAGTGCAGGCCAGTAGGTCGTAGGTCCCAGAAAGTTGTCGAAATCAGGAACAGCAGACCGTTTGCAGAGACCTTTGCGTACTCTAGCTCCTTGCCGAAATTCGGAGCGTTGCTGCTCTTTCGTGCCTTCGAGCGCACTTGAATGAGTTTTCCATTACGCTGAACTGCTTGAGCTGCATTCGTGCTATTACGAACACATACGAGCATATCCATGCATACGCATGGCACATCCAGCGGTTTCACATAGTTAACATAGTTGCACACCAGGCCTTTCAGTTCCGCGCAACCCCGCTTGAGGCCCCTCACTTGTGTAGACTCGTGGACGATTCCCTTGAGTGCTTCTACACCGGGAAAGTCCTAAGTTTCGCCGTCACGGTGTGCCCTTTCTCCAGACCGTCGAGCTCCTAGCGGCCTGCTGCTCTCGGCTGAACGTTTGGCTGCCAGAGCCTGCTGTCGTGACGTGGGTGGGGCTGGCTTAAAGGACAGCACTCAGCGCTTTCATTCTGTTTGTTGTTCTTCGACTAGTGATCGAGGCTGCGGTTGCAAGTTGATACAAGACTTACAGGACAATCAAGACATTCGGTTTCAGAAGGTGCACTGCAGTACACCTTGTAAATCCCTATGACTTCATGACCGGAGCCAGGCTAGGGCCACTTGCCGCGCAGCGCTGAGCGGTCGGCCCCTGCGTGGTGCGACAGCCAAGCTGGACTCGCTGCTCCTGGCAGGAGTGTCACAAATGGTCTTGAGATTGGGGCACGCTGAGACTTTGCGCTTCGCAAGGCGCGGATGTGAACTCTATTGGCAGGGGCTGCGAGACGGCACTTCACATCCTTGCACGTGCCTTGCTTGCAGTCTCCTGCAGTTGGTGGTGGAAAGCTCAACCAAGAAAGGGTTGACCTACTGTTCCCATCATAGCACAGCACTCGTCGTGTGATTTGCCTGGTTTCAGTTCGTGTTCAGAAACACCAGATCAGTTCTCAAAGGCCACGTAGAGAACCTGGGCCGTCCAAAGGAATCCAACAGTTGTTCGTGGACGGCCGAAGCAACGCATTCCTCCGCTGCGTTGCAAAGGAACGCTCCAGCTCCTGTGGCAGGCATGGTCTCCTTATCTTCTGACATCATACACCTGTCTCTCACATGCCTCGAAGCGGGCCGGCTTTGCTTCCCATGCCCATCAAGATACATGCAAACCTTGCTGCCATCCCACAGTCACGTTGTGACAGTTGCTCGGCACCATTTAGTTGGCCAAAGTTAAGCAATTCATCCGCGCGGCCAGAGGTCATCGCGGTAGCGGAAAACGAGGGATCCCGGAACCGGGAACCATAGCCGATGAACATCGCTATCTCAGAGCATTCAGAGCAAGCAACACTATGACGCTGCAAAGCTGTCGTCGGAGCCGCAGGAGTCGCAACGCTACTCTCTGCGAAGCAAGAGTCTTTCGCGTGAAATTCAGGACATTGCACAGCCATGCGCTTGTAACTTGTAGCCCACGAGGGGTGAGTGAGAAATAGCATGAAATATCCAAGCGACAAGGATGTCTTTGAGGGCAGTACTGTTTCAGCACTTCTCTCAAGAGGTGTACCGGCAGTGCCACGTGGATTGTGTCAACATGGAGAGACGTTGCAATAAGAGATGTCATGAGTCCTCGACCTCTCAGGTTGCAAATTGGAACAAGACCTCTTTGCACTCCGCTTGCAAAGCCTCTCCGAACGCAGGAGACGCAGCAGGAGCTCAACAAACTTTGGCATGATCTCGTCTCACGAGGCACGATTGACGTGCCTGCTCTTGCTTTGCCAGGCAACGGTCAGTGGCGCAGTGACAGCAATTTGACACAATGACGGCACGCTGGAAGCTTATCGTCAAATTTTCTCGTCCGGACACTGTGATGAGAGGCGCAGATGCGAGCATGGCCGACGGCGAGAGCTCTTCTGCGCTTGAAAGGCAAGTCCGCCTTGGGCGAAGCACGGTGTAGCTTGCAGCTTCGATTTGCATCATGGGAATACCTTGTCAGTCTCGTCTGCATCTGGTTGCCAATGCCTTCCTTTCATGAGATTCTGCTTGTAGAGCGACATGAAGCACTGGCGAGGCTGTCTGCGACACAGTGCACGGATCTCTTGGTCTCCAAACGGAAGACATATGCCATGCGACGCTATCACCATGCCAGGCCGGCAGATGTACATCACATATCCGTCAGCGATGCAGTTTCACTCCACTTCACTACATACGCACTTCATCCCACTCGCTCGCATTCATCGTACTTGGGCTTGTCTCCTACTGCCTTACATGTTTGAAAACCCAGTTTAGTCACCTGCTGACTCATTTGCCTGTTGGCCTCTTTGCTGCTGTGTCATGTTCGCCTGCTTGTTTGCATGCTTAACTGAACCCCCCCCCAGTCTAAAGTTAACTACCCTGCCTTTTCGAGTGGTCCATGCTTGCTCGCATGACGGTGAAGCGGCGTGCCTGTCATGGCCGTTTCTTCTATGGTGCTAGTTGATCTGAAGAAACTGTGGCTTCACTCACGTTTGAGGTGATGTGCTGACGAGGTTTAGTTTATACGGACTGTTTTTAGAGAATCCTCACGGCTTTATATGACCGAAGCATCCCAAGGATATCCAATTCAAAAACAAACTGCCAGAGCCTTTTTTTGTGCAACATTCGTTATCATGCCGACAGCCATGGGTTCAACAGGGCAGCACTTTGAAACACATTCGTCATGTGCTTCAAGCTGTCAGCAAGTAGGGGATCTAGGATGTTCGGACTGGAGCATCATGCGTACCGCTGGTGTCCAGCACCAGTTTGCACAGTCACTACCTATGCATCTATCTATTTATTTATCTAGCTAGCTAGCTATCTGTCTATCTATCTATTTGTCTCTGTCTATCTGTTGATCTGTCTATCTGCCTGTCCATCGGTTTACCTATCCGGTTACCATTATCTACATGTCTGTATATCTTCATATGTATACACACATACGAAACATATATAAAAACAAATGTACTTATACATGCATATTCTTACATATATATATATACACACTTGCATATGTACATGTATATGCATATGTGTATATAGATAGATAGATAGAGAGATAGATAGATAGATAGATACATAGATAGATAGATAGATAGATAGATAGATAGATACATAGATAGATAGATAAATAGGGCTCGAATCGCCGGGGAGCACCGGAATATCACAGCCCCAGAACCCGAAGGGTTCGCTTTCTTTTGCCAGAACCGGCAAGCCCTCGCCGGCGTGGCATAGGCGCCGAAGAGCCCAGCGATCTTGCAGCAGAGGCAGGCTTCGTGCTGGACTGCGGCCCACTGCATCCCAGGGGGCTCTTTTGGTGGGGCACCACTCTGCCAACGCATCTCTGAAGTTACGGCTGCACATTATTTGCCGCAGAGGCAAGAACGGGGGACAACCATGGAATGGCGGTGGCTATGGTTTTCGTGTGTGGCCGGGTGCCTCCTCTCCGGCTGCGAAGGGCAACAACAAGCCGCCGTGGAAATCGGAGGGTGGCCGAGCACAGCTTGCCTTCCCGACATGCGCTTCGATGACGGTGCCCGCCGAGCGCCCTGCCACGCCGAATCCTGGAACAGCTCCCTTGGGCTGTGCTTTCGGGATCATAGGAGGTTTAGGTCGAGCCGCCATGTGGTTTACGGGTTATTGCCTCCCTTGCTTCCTCTCCTCTTTGGGCCGTGCTCTCGCTGGAGGCGCTGCCCACCCCCATGTGTGGCCTGCGGGCGTGCCCGCTTGTGCATGTGTCGTGGTACACCTGAATGCCTGGACGTGGCTGCTCCAAGGGGGACTTCAGGAATTTCAGCGGACTGCGGATGGCATGGCCTCCCCGAGAGACTACAGGTCCCTGTTTCACCGCTTGAATGCATGTGCTAGAGGTGCATCAGACCTTGACGCAAGCCTGTGGAAGAAGACATATTTTTTACACATATGTCTAAATGCATGCACACGCATGTATATGTGTGTATATATATAGGTGTATCTATATATATATATATATGTATACATACATATATATATATATATCTATGTATACATACATATATATATATATATACCCAGCAACATTTGGATGAAGCAGGTCCTGAATCACCATTCCGGCTTCAAGAGTCCGGGTTGTCATGTTCCGTTTCCCTGTTTCGCCGGCCCCGCCGCTGGCCGCCGCATCAGCCGCGCTGCGTTCCGAGAATGTGCTCTGGCCACCATGCCCGGCGCATGCTGTACCGCAGCAGACAGCGAGCTCAGGGGCCTCGTCCTTAGAGAAGGGTTGACGGCTGACAACTGACGTGTGTCATAGATTTTGTGATTTCGGCGCGGAGCAGGTGCCAGCTGTGACGGAAACATTTGGGGCCACGGCTGTCCTTGCCTCGGCTGTGGCCTCGTCGGTGGCCTTTAGAAGGTATTCTCGAGGTTTGCGAAGACGGCGGGGTCTTTGGCAACTTCCGTGTCGGGCTTGGCGGAGCTGGGCAGAGGAGCTGGCCATCGAAGCACCTAAGGCGAGCTAAACCCGCGACGCTTCATTCCGTTGGGTGTCATTCGCATGCAGTATGTGAGCATGTGTTGCCATCTCTTCGCTCTGATCTATCATGTCATGTACAGGTGGAGCTCGCCACTTTGAAAGATGCCTTTGGCAAGGACTTGCGCGGGCTCCGGCCTTACAGCTGAACGAGACCGACTGAAACTAGGGCAAGATGTTTGCGCCTTAAGGATGATTGCCACATCCAGCATCGATCTGGACGAGGCAAGCGTAGCAATGCCTTGTTTGGGTGTGGCCAGTAGAAGCGAAGGCTATCATCACGGTTCCAGCAAAGCGGGCACTTCAGGCCAGGCAGAGTCATGAGTTTTCCTGAAATGAGATTATCAGCAGATGACACCACATGGCCCCTAGTGGCCCACATGATGTTTGCTTTTTGACGTATTGTGTGTCTGGTGTTCAAGGTCACCACAGGCGGGATCTGTCCCGCCGGTGAAGATTTTGCAAAGAGCGAGGCTGGATCAGCATGGTCACACAAAGAAGACATGCCACTGCAGAACATCCAATCCTGCGGCACAGGACTGGCAACAGCTGCCTTGGTGGGCACAACTTGCGATCTTGGTCTTGCGAGAGGCATCATTGGGGCAGATGCGCACATGCTGATGTCTGTTCCGCGTTCGGGCTGTACACCTACAGCATTGCAGTGCACGGAGTAGCGCGTTTGTGCACTGAGCGGATGCGGCTGGCGCTCAAGGCGAAGTCAGGCGATGCATCCTTTCTCAAGGAATGGGTAGACAGCTTGCCTCGAGAATTCCCAGATGCTTGCACCGGAAGAGCATGAACTTCGAATTTTGTGAACCTTTTCGTGCTAGATGACCGACAATGTCAGATATGGCTGCCACGACAGCGACAAGCTCATAGAGGTGTACAGATTGGCATGATCTGTAACATGAGGTAGAAGTTAGAAGCCCATGCGCTCTCGGTTTCGGCTTGACTCACCTAAGGAAATTCCCATGAACTGGACGGAGGAAGATCTGGAGCTGCTAGAGTATCCACCAATCCTTCGACAGCCTCTTCCCTGCAAAGACCGAATTCTTTCGACCCGTAGCCCCTTCAATGCGCAAGAAGGCTTCTGTCATCTTCTCTCCTTCCCAGTCGAGCCACGGCCGGGGTCGTGGGTTTTCAGCCTGAGCCTTGCATGGAGCTTCACAGAAGTGCCTGTAAATGTTCCAAATTGAAAGAGCTTCAAGAAGGGAGAATCGATCTGCTGACCGCGTGAACTTTCCGGCTCCCCATTTCTTCTGTGGGCCGAGCCATCGATCCTTTCGTGTCTCCACGTCGGTGGCTGACCGTGTGGGTCGCAAGGATCGAGAAACAACGCCGCGAGCTTCAAGAAGCCTTTGGTGCAGCGCAAAAGTGCCGCCTGCACTTCACCGAGGCGGCTCAGCTCAATTATTTTGGCTTTATAGAGTTCCCAATGGGCTTCTGGAACCCCGAAGGCTGAGTTCACCTGGGCGGTCCAAGTCGTCCGCAGCCGTGCCTTCAGTGGACCGTACGAGGGTCGCAACGCCCAGGACGACTATAAGGTCTAGTCTAGTCTCTTCTCGCCAGTTCTCTTGCATCGTCTTGCAGTCCGTGTGCGGATGGACAGGACCGATTGGCACAGCTGGCATTCACCGCTGCCTTGCAACTTCCCCATTCAAAAACGTCCGTTCACGCTTCATGGTATTTGCTGCTCTGAAGGGCCGGTGCGGGCGTCGCCTCCGGCGCGCTGTCGTTGGAGGCAAGCCTAAATGGCGCCTTGGCGGCTGCGCTGGCCATTCCCTTACAGGCATTTCCATTGAATTTCCTGGCAAGTTTCTGCATTCTTCATTGGTCTAAGTTGCAGGACTTCCTCGTTGGACAGCTCCCAAGCTGCAAGAGCCATCCGATGCATTCTTGAACCTGCCCATTTCTTTTAGATACCCTCGCAATGCACCTAAGCGGTTACAGGTCATGCCTCTACTTGAAAACCTGACTAGACGGCCGACAGACCAGCTGCTGCAGAATGTGAGGACGTCCAAGCTGAAGAGGCACGTGGTGTGTCCGGTCGTGGATTACCTCAACCATGTGCCTTGGTATGCATTGAGAGAATTTTCTCGCCTTTTACATACATCATGATTCTGGTCCATTCCGTCAGTCCTTCCGCGCACTGGCATCGGAACGTTCGACTTTGGCACAGTGCGTCGCTTCGGAAAATCGTGTTGTTCTTCGCAATAAGTGGAGGAGAAGATCGATTTTCGACCTGTCCTCCTTTCGCGGCCTTGTGGAAATTCTTGTGGTACGCGTCCTGCCATGCTGTAAGACGGTTCCGAGGTGGCTTTCTGTTTTCGGCGGACAGGATCGAAGATTCTGTTGCAAGGTTTTCGATCGCTTTGGCCTGTGGCATGCCCCGCGTACGAGATAGGGCGGGAGGGGCTCCACCACTTTGGCAGTACGATCGCGCGCAATTGTAGCAAGATAGACAAGGAGAGTGCATGCTGGCTGCAGTAGGAGCCCCGTTGGTGCCAGGACAGCGATGCCATCTCCGACATTGCTTATGAATATTTCGGCAATGCATTCGTCGTGAGGGTGAATGGTACCTTCCAGGACACAGACCCGAGATTTGCCCGGGTGGTTGATCTGCAGACCGTGTAGTTGGCTTCTGGGAAATTGTTGAGAGCTTTGTCACAGGACGGTGAAGAAGTCTGCATCAACTATGGCGAGAAGCGGAGCAACGACACCCTGCTTCAGTTCTATGGCTTTGTTGAAAGGCGGGGTATTCTCACTAGGTTCCGACTAGATTCCATCTAAAAACTGTATTGGTCTGGAGAGCTTTGGGAGCGAACTTAAATCCTGCTCATCGCGAACAGAACACCACGGCCGTGTAAGAAAAAATACCTGCAGGGACAACGCAAACGATGCTTACACCGTGGACCTGCTGCGACACCTCGACGAGGAGGCTGCGGCGAAAGGGCAAGCACTGGAGGCGCCCTGTGCTGACAAGAGTGCCTGACGACGTTTGGCAAGTGAGACAAGCTCTGACAATGAATGCTCCTAACAGGCATGTATCTGTTTGTGCTCTGTGTCCATGTCAAGGTGAGGCTGTCGCGCACCGGGCCGGACGACGAGTCCTTCGAAAGGTGGGATGGGCAAGGGGTGTGCTGCTGGATGCCAGGGCAGTAAGCAGTGTCAATTTTGTTTCGTACGCTGAGCGTTTGATAAGCACCGAACGTCGCAAAGTCCATGGTGGACCTTCCGTCGCAAGGCTGCTGGCGCTACTTGCTGGCGGGGGAACCCCTGGCGCAAGCGAAGAAACCATGGCTTGGAAGGCACGGCCGAATGAGAGCTGCGCATTGTGAGAGTGATCCTCAGAGTGCCCTTGGTCTATCGTCTTGGAGGATCCTTTCAGGCCGAAGGCCACATTGTTTTGTCCTCTTCGGTGAGGCTGTTTCCATCGCCTGTGAAGCAGAGCTCCAGCGGCGTAGTGCCGGAGAAGCTCGGGAGCTGGAAAGCGCAGGCAAAGCCCCATGGCCCATGGCCCTTCCTCCGCGTGCTTGCCTGGCTTGCCTGGCTTGGCCCTGCCCTACTCGTGCTCGGTTGGCCTCAGGCACAGGCGTTCGCGCGCTGGCAGCGAGATTTGCTGCTGAAAAGGAGAAGGTGGGCAGCAAGGAAAGAAGCACAGTTGGCATGGTCACAGTCCAATCGTTCTGCCGGTGGCCTCACAGTTCACGGGTCTCTTTGAATGGTTTCGGACATTGACAAGGTCTTACTAGCTTGCCGTGCACATGCCGAATCAAGGCCAGGTTCTGCTGCATCTCACGTCTTTTTATACACATGTGTTCAGAGATGTCAAAGACATTGTCAGGAGCAGCGTGCTGCAGCCATGTTGTTTACAGAAGGCTTGAGTACCAACGGCCAGCGGCATGCACCGCTCTGGTCGCCGATCTCCCTCGCCAAGAGGGGTTCCACGTTCACGGTATGCCCAAGAGGAGAACCGACATGATGCACATGAAAGCCTGTTGCCTGGGCCTCTCGCCCCGTCTTTCACACTGCAGCCTCAGGCTATTGCATCCCGACATTGCTTTGCTGCAGCCGCAACTGGTACCTTGTTGAGCATCAGCGGAGGAAGCTTGTTCGAGAGCACGGAAAGTCACCAGCAGATGCAGTTGGGTCCGCGTCCGCGGCCTCTCACATGCATGGCCGGTTCGCCCTGCGGTAGGTGGTGGGCCATTGGGGAATCGTGCTTTGGAGGACGCTCCGGTCAGGTCATCATCATGAGTAGCGAGAGCAAGGATGTCGTTTCCACCATGCCGTTGGGTGTGCGTCGATGCGCACGTTATCTGTGCTGGGCGGCCCAGGGTGAGCTCGTGGCTGCAATTGTCGAGTTTGAAAGCGAGCATTCGACGTCCGCAGAGCAGCAGCTCATGGTGTGGTCTTGGCCATCTGGCGAGCGTTTAGCAACCTCCACTTGTGGTCGGGGAACTCAAGACATCGCCGGGTCCCCGGACGAGGCCGTCCTACTGACAGTGGGGCCTTATGGAGCAAAAGTTTGGACTTTGGTACGCTCGCATGACTCCATTACCGGGAGGTCAGCTGGGGGCATAAAGCTCAGTTGTGGGGGAGGATTGCTGCCGCTGCGACTGCTGGGGCGTTCCCTGCCTATTGGGCCAATCGGCCCCACTGCCCTGGCCACGTGCAGCCGCTTGGCGGGCACTGCTACGGCAGGTCGCAGGCGGCCAGCTGAAGATTCACTAGTTGCCGTCGCATTTGGCCCCTCCTCTTGCATGGAAAGGTGTTGTATGATTTTCAGATGATCGAGTGATCAAACTTAAACCCTTTACGCGGAGGGAGATACGTCAAGGAAGGTTGGATCAGCATGAACTCAATTCAGATAACAGGCTAGTTCCAGGGGAACGAGGAAACTGGAAAACACAGTTAGGTAGTTCGGCATGAAGACAGGAAGCGCACGAGGTTCATGTATAGAGTTTGGAAGGCTTGGGTGCACATGTTTTATTTGTGATCGTCCGTCCTGCCTATTTTGGTTGGAGCCTTGGCAGTTGAGCCAAAACGAATGCAGTCGCGAAAACTGTCGCGAAACCTGGCGCGGAAAAACTTCCCGGAGAGGATAGCCCCACGGGGACCGTCTCCGAAAGGGGGATGGGAGGGCGGGCAACAAAGAACCTGCGTTTGGGACACGAACCGGTGTGGTTCGAGACCTTTCGGGGACAGGAGTTACCTGTTGTCCCCGGTGTCAGGTCTAGCCGAATGTTCTATACCAAAGCACTTCTGTGAGATGAGCACAGGTTCTACAGAGGGACTCATGGCGAGGCGAAAGGAAAAGGGTGCCGAGCGATTTCAGTAGCCTTAAGGATGCGATTCACGAATGTACATATATATATATATATATTGATTGCGTGCTCTATTGCAGATGCAGAAAATCTACGACACGAGGAAAGCTGAGAAGAGCAAAATCGACTACCTGAAGAAAGGAAGAGAGCGACCGCACCGATGCTACATGAAGGGGTAAGTTAAAGCACAAGGCTGTGTGACACAACCGCGGCATGTGATACCGGCTTTTGTCCGGCGTGCTGCCTTCAGCTTCCGGCAGTTACCCAACACGCCACGCCGACACTGTGTGGGTCATGATGTGGCCATGCGTAGAACGGCTATTTGTGCCGTTCGCAGAGGAGGCTCCCCCTGGTTTGCCGCCGGTGCGTGTGTGCGTGTGGATGGATTGACAAAGAAAAAATGCCCCATCCCCATGCTTGCACCCCCAGCTTAGTACTCTTGCGAGGGATCGCAGGATAAAGGGCGCCTGGGTCCGAGAAGCGAGCTGTCTTGCCAGGTGACCAAATCCAACCCAAGCTGGCTTGCGGGCACTCCCCTTTCCTGGTCTGGGGGCAGGGCTCGTGTGTGAATTGGAGGGCCCGGCTTGTCGAACTTTTGCCGAAGCCCTAATGACGCCAACGGAAAAGCTGATATGGTGGCACGGAAAATGCTGTGGCCATCCACCACCACCACCGCAGCATGTGACAATGAAGGAAAAATTGTGGCCATATTGAGCAATTGTAGGCCCAAGCAAAGCAGTGAGCCCGTTCCTTCCTGTGAATTCGCTGGCAGCTATTGAGCTGGCTTATCTGTTCTGGGACGCCGCTATGATCACGCTCTGTGTTTACGATACGTGTGCTCTCAGGCCGTTGTGGGGTCGGCCTAGGTTATCTCCTCGCAGCATGTTCTCATTGACACAACATTGAAGCCGGCTCCGTTTCCGCTACCGTGAAACGATCGCTCGTATGTGGATTTCATTGCCCAGAACGGCTTCCACACGATATTTCCGCCAGCACTCCTTTGGTTACCTGGGCTTTTGCACCGCTGGAGATGATGCCCCAAAAAGGCGGGCCGGGAATCAGGCTTTGCGTACGAAGGGGCAACGAGCTCATTCAGGCAATCATGCGCGCGTGGTCCAAGACGAAAACCCTAAGGAGTGAATACACAGCAGGCTCGAACCCAGGACGGAAACCCGGAGGAATGAATACCCAAGGCGGGAAAACCTTGAAGAGTGAATCCAGAGGAACTTTTCCCGAAGACGAAAACCCCATGGAGTGAATCCAGCAAGAACCTATTCCCGAAGACGAAAAAACTAAGGAGTGAATCCAGCAGGAACCCTTGAACGAAGACGACAACCCTAAGGAGTGAATCCAGCAACAGCATTTTGTAACCCAAAGCGAAAACCTTAAGGAGTGAATTCCCAAGGCGAGAACCGTAAAGATTGAATCCAACAGGAAACTTTTCCCGAAGACGAAAACCGTAAGGAGTGAATCCAGCAGGAATTTTTGACTAAAGACAAAACCCTAAGGAATGAATCCAGCAGGAAACTTTAACCCAGGACGAAACCCTTAAGGAGTGAATACCCAAGACGAACACCCCAAGCAGTGCATACCCAAGACGAAAAGCCTAAGGAGTGAATCCAGCAGGAACCTTTGACCCAAGACGAAAAGCCTAAGGAGCGAATCCAACAGGATATTGTAACCCAACACGAAAACCTTGAAGAGTGAATTCCCGTGGCCAAAACCCAGAGGAGTGAATCCAGCAGGAACTTTTTCCCGAAGACGAAAACCTTAAGGAGTGAATCCAGCAGGAACCCTAGACCGAAACAATTATTACACCATAGAGAGTTAATGACTTGGTGCTAGAAACACCCAAAAAACTTATAGTTGAGATGGCTGTTTTGCAACATTCTGCAAAGATTTGCGGAGCCCATAGCAGTTACAACTAAGTCTAAGTCATTTTGCTGAAAAAGTTGAAGTTACATCTACATGGAAAAAATACAATTAAGTGTTCTACCACAAAAGCAGTTTACGATGAAATGTCTTACGTACTTGAAACAAGCTTGCAAGCGAGTGCCGGAGCAGGTCCTTGCCTTAGATAGTCATCGTAACATACCAGTTCGTACCAAAGTACATAGCGCTACAAACGCTGACCTGCCATGACGCATGAGCGTGCATGCCAACCTGTCGTTGTACACAACAACATTTGTTGAATTTTTATGACTGCAAAACGGATTTGATGAGTAAAGCAATCGTAGTAGTGTACAGCACTTGTATATCAGCATATAGTGGTGCTGATTTTGAGCAGTCACATGTTGCAGTGGTGTCGGAGCACAACATAGCACAACATGGAATTGTGCAATGCAATTGGAAACCAGGTCTATGCGTAGTAGCAGGTGGTTGCATAAAACACAAGATACCGCACAGCCGTACATTGGAAGTGGGAGCATATGAATTGCATGCAGTAATGTACCTGGGCATTTTTCACATGTGTATCTATCAGTATATTACAAATACCGACATACATATATGCATGTGTGCATGTAAAATATCAATATGGAAAATAGACATGTGCGCATGCAAACAGCCATAATTTGTGTTGTTCTATGCTCTTCCAGCCGACTGCCTGATTCAAAGGTTGATCGGACGGCTGCAGTGCCTGTGTTTTTTTTGTGCCATCCTCTTTGCTGCTTCTGCCCCGAAGAAATCCGTGATCGAGTACTTGTCTGATAATGCACTGACACACCTTATAAGGTGTGGAGAGTGCCCTTTTCCTGGCAACGAAGCACGGCGGCCTTGGCGTCACCTTTTGTGAATCCACGAGCAAGGCACTTTCTTGATATGGCATGGCATGATGTGCATGTAGTCTGGCAATCGACAGTACGGCAACGCATGCTGCTGGCAGGCCCCGCTGTGGCGAGATCTCGGCAAGCGGATTGCAGCCCTGCGATGGGCCCGGTGCCTGCTTGGTGCCGCCCCGCCCGGCGGTGCTACTCGGCCTTCACGTTTCCTTTGTGGAAGCTAGGAAGCCCGGGGCGAACAGGAGCTTCAAAGATTCCGCGAGCACGTTATGGCATGTTATGGCATGTTAGCTTGACGTTGATTCTGCCTGAGTGAGGTGTTGGCCTGTGCGCTGGCAGGCCCGATAACAGACAGTTTTTCATTTAACGGAAAGAGTTGAGTTGCATGAGTCTTGCACTGCACTTTCTCTGCCAGGTGGTATCGTGGATGTACTGGATGCATCCAGTATGACCACCGTCTTCAAGCTGAATGCTGGTTCCAGTACTCGGCCAGATGCAGTCGGTATTGCGACCAATCCCCTCATGGCTGGTTTGTGGGTCCTGTATTCTGATAGATCATTATCGTTTTTTTCAGACAGTGCGGCTGCAGCCTGGACGCTGCCCGGAGCCGTGTGTGACTTCCGGGGCTCCTACACGCTGCCAGGCAACATCCTCACGCGGGTTGTGTCTTATTCCAGCTGGAGTGTGCAGCTTTGGACAAGGCCGCTGCATGGAGACTTGCGGCTTGAAGTCCAGACCGAACCGGCTTCAGCGCAGGGTTGCGAGCTGACAGCTCTCGCTGTTTCCCCCTGGGTTGTTGCATGTGGACATGCCAACGGTGAGGTGAGGCTGCTTGCAGCTCTCCATGGCCTTCGTGAACTTGGGCTTATGCCATCCAAGCATGCAGCAGAGGTTATGGGACTAAGCTTTGGGCATTGGAAGCCCGCATCTCTACGGCCTGTTCTGCTGGCTTCTGTCTCACAAGATCGTAGCGCCTTCGTCTTCAGCATAGAGCTTCAGCAGAGCAGCACTGGCATCGAGTCCAGTCGAGCGAGCCTCCTGTTGCACCTGCAGCATCACTCGTCGCCGGTGCAACACGTTGCCCTTCTGACTACGCCAAGCAGCTCACCAATGGGCAGTGAGATATTTCGCGTAGTCGTTTGCACGTCTGACCAGTTGATTTGGCGAGAAGCCGAGTCCACGGAGAGCCTCGCCTCCGTGCATAAGTGTGCCCGACAGCAGGCAGCACGGGGCTCTCGGTGGGTCGGAGTGTGCAATGATGCTGTCCGAGGCCGCTTCTATGCAGCTTGTAGCAATCGGCGCGTGCTGCAGCTGGATGAAGCTGGTCGCCGAACTGAAGAGGTCGTCATCGGAGGGAGTAACGTCGAGATTGTTGGGCCAATCCAGCTGAGCAACGATGGAAGATTCTTGGCCGCCATTCTCAAAGGTGCAGCGGGAGTTCTGCTGTTCGCAGCCGGAGGCTGCTTGCAGCCCCTTGCCCGATTGGCAGCTGGGCAGGCTGATCCACCCAGAGGAGTTTCCTTTTTACCAGGTGATCAGATGATTGCCTGTTGGACGGATGGCACCCTGCTGAGTTGGAAAGCCCCGGACACACAAATAGCTCGTGCAGCTGGCTCGCACGAGGTACAGGCCGTACAGGGAGAGGCTCTGCGACGTGCAATGTCCCCAAGAGAAGCCGGAGTCGTTGTTGCCGGAGTTGCCAGAGCCACAAAGCTTCGGCCGGCGAGTGGCAGCCCACCCCGCGGTAGACGCAGTGCTCGTGTTGCGGGGCCTTTGCGCGCAAGCTCCAGTGCCCTGGCGCCTCGCAAGCCAATCCCACTCTCTGCTCGAGTGACGGGCCAGCCAGGGCAGCAAGGACAGCAAGGGCCGAAGACATCCAGGCCAAGTTTGGGTGAGGAGAGGCGAAAGGATTCCATCAAATCGCAAATTCAGGCAACCCAAACGTACCCGAGAGAGAAGGACTCTCGTGCCAAGCGGCTTCCGGAAGGCCTCCGCGAGCTTCGACGCTTGCTGGCCTCTTCCCCAAGCCCGCCGCGCTGGGCAGAGGCCGAGGCTTCGGCCGAGGCCTCCATCGAAAAGAGCAGCTTGCTCTGTGGTGACAGCGAGAAGGAGGAACTTGGGAAGCCCAAGCAGGCAGCGAATCCCTTGACCCAACCCACGGAGCTTGGGAAGTGGGCCCGGGGAAGCTTGGTCGGTGCCCAGGTTCGCTCCGCATCTGACCTGCACCGTGTCGGTCCCAGAGAGGAGCTGGAACAGGAGGTTCAAGTCCGCTGCGCATCGGAAGGAGCACAAGGACGCTGCAGAGAGATTTTGAAGCGGCGGCTATTCATTCAGCCGCTTCCTCCGAAGCCTGTTTTTCCACCTCCCGATCAAGGCGATCAAGGTCCTGTGAGTGCCCAGCACCCACTCGAAGTCAGTGCGATTTCCTCAACACATCTTGCTGGCATTGAGCGCCGACGAAGCACCGAAGGCTGCGTCGAAAGTGTTGACAGCAGCCAGGGACCTCGAGTCCCGCCAGCACCTGCACTGCCGATTTTCTTGTTACCCACCCCCTGCAGGGGACGCCAGGACCAGTTGCCGCTGAAAAGCCCAAGTTCGGAGCTTGAAGACTTAGTGGACACCGTTGTCACCTTGAAGACGCGGCTATCTGCCATTCAGCCTGACAGGCTGCCAACCCAAGAGGCGAACTTGTTGTTGGAACCTCTCCAGAGGTTTGAGCTGATGCTGCGGTCCCAGATGAAGAGCAGACAGGCGACATAAGCTCCGCGTGGAGAGTGCAGCACTCTCCTGATGTGTCTCCGCGATATTCCTCGTGTGTTTGAGTAGTGAAGACTTTCTTAATTAATCTGGGTCGTCAGACCCCATGCACACCGTTCAGAACCAGATCTCTGAGCAGTTCCAGGGTTGGGCGACAGGGTCTCAACCCTCTGTGCACATATGGATGCGTTACCAATTCAGAATGCGCGTGCATGACAAGCCTCTGTGTGGCTACCACGATGAAAATTTGCTGTTTAGCAGACAGAGCACATTGCGAGGGACTGGGCTTGCATCCCGGATGCCCCGATGGAGGTGTCGACCAGCCACGGCTGCGCCGTTGTCACTCCTGAGTCGAGCGACGCTGCTGCCCAGTTTCCAGGACAGGCATGTCACTGTGGCCTGTCGCTGGTGCAAGTTACCGACGAGTATGACCCTTACAGAATCCTCTGTCCCCACATCGTCCAGAGCCGGAAACCAGCACGGAACTGCTCAGAGCTCAATTGCGGTGCAGGACGCGCAGTCTTGGAAGCACGAGTGGGCCTCCAACGTCTTCGAAGCAGCTGATCTGGCAGCTTTGCACCGCGAAGGCACCAGGGGATTTTGTTGACAGCAGAAGCATCTTCGTCGGTTGTGGTCACTCGTTTGCCTTGCAGCTGCCCAAAGTTTTGTTGAGGCTTTTCAAGCCGAGAGGGCCACGTATCAAATTTAAATCTTAGTATGCCAAGGAAAACAGGGCAGCAGACAGCGTGCATCTCTCATGATGCACATGACCTGGTTAATGCAGCTCCAAGGCTTTGTGATTCTTCCCGGGGCGTTTGACAAAAGCCTTGCCTTCGATGCCAAGGAGGAGTCTCGTTTAAGACGAGGATATGCCATTTCCCTAGTGAGCAGCCGATTTGTCCATGGTTGCTTCTGGACACCTAGACCCAGACGCTCTGCCGTGGAGCTCAAAGGCCTCTGACGGTATTGTAATGGCTCTGGTTTTCAAGGCTGGGAGGCTGCGCGAGGGACTAGGGAGAAGCACGAAAGCCATAGGACGATCTAGGAGGTTTCGAGACCGGCCGGGCTGTCCGGTGCTGCCCGCGTAGGGCTGCACGCGGCATCGTTGTGCCTGTTTCCTGGATGTCAGGCATGCCTTGCCATCTGAGTCGGAATTGCCTACGTCTGTTTGTCGTTGTATCGTGCTTCGGTGGATTCTTAACATCACGACGGAAATCTGGAAGGATGTGCAGTCTTCGACCTATGTTCCATGCCTGCGTGTCTGTGTTTATGTGCACGGGAAAAACTTGTCCAATACACGCTATGCATGCTAAGAGCATGTTTCATTGGATCCAACAGAAGCAGTCCATGCACGGAACTTATTTAACTGGTGCAGGAGTGTGAAGCCCTGGACGGTTCGGCTACCACCGTGACGACAAACCGCTGCAACCGTGGGCCGGGCCCCTTCCCGGGCACCGCTGCGTCAGTCAGAGCCCTGCAGATTCCTAGGTCCAGGTCTGCGTGGCTGGACTTCGGTGAACCTGCAGTTGCTTGGCGCAAAAAACATCGGAGAGCGGTCTTGGAAGCCTTGGGTTTGCCAGGGTCTGGCACAGCTGGAAGAGCGCCTGCCAGCGCTCAGCCGTCTCGGGCGAATGCTGGCAGGTGGACCCTTGAAAGCAGCCTTAATCTCAATCTAGCAGGGCACGGGGCAGTGGCCTCGCAGGAAATTCTGAACAGTGCAGATGCAGATTTCTCGCGCTGCGCTTGACAGGGCTTCCGGCTCATGTGCACGGACTCGGGGGCTTCGGTGAGGCAGTCCAGATCTGCCGCACTGGAAGAAGCTTTGACAGACAACACTATCCTTTCCGCCGGGCGAACTTCATGCCAGGAACTCAAAGTCCATCCTGCAGCGATGTTTCCCGGCTGATATTGGAATGCTGCGACATCAGCATGAGCTAACGGCATGCGCGATTTATGACTCGTGTCCTACTGTAGCTGTGGCACGCACGGCGACGTGCACAAGTTAAACGGCAGGCAGAACTTGCGCCAGCTCCATTCTGCAAGCTGCTCTTGCGGTCTTCCCTCCGCTTGTGACCTTGGCCAGGATCGCCGTTTACCCGGAACAAGCGGCTGCATACGCCTTGCACAAGGAGCAGTGGGCAGCTAGGCTAGGCTAGGCCAGGCCCGCGTTGGCCAAACGACACCTAGAGTGACACAGAGACTGCACAATGAGAAAGGATTCGTACGCGCCATCCGACAACGACCCGGCCACGGGCGCCACCAGACGGCTGACTGTGCTTGCGTACTTGAATGTGGCTCAGATTCGTTTGACATGCAAAGCAAGGTCAGTTGATCCAGCTGCACAATCGGCACTATCGCTCAATCAGGACTGGCACGATGGGTATGGTGGCGAGCTGCGCATCCACTCCGGTGGCGAGCGGCCCGACCCAAGGCAGGTCCCTGCGCTCCTGTCTCCCTTTTCTTGATTTCGGTCATTTGAGGCGCTATCGGAATGTGCAGCCCAAGGCCTGTGAGCAAATGCAAGGGATGAGATGCTGTCTGAGAGATGAATCATGCTCAGGCTGGCACCGTGGTGGTTTTTGACAGCCGCAGGATTTGGCAACTCGGCTGATGAGTTCAAGTCTGCTTCTTACAGGCCGCTCGGCTTGTCCCACATATCCCAATGTCCTCACTGTGCCACCATGAATTCAATGCGCCAGGCCAAATCCAACTATGCAAGTGTAAACTGTGTAGAGACCCTCAAACAGTGAGCTTGCACACACGACGACCGTGGACCACGCCGACCACGACGAGCACAGCCACCCGACCACCTGGACCGACACGACGAGATCGCAAAAAGACCACCGAAAGACGCAAGCATACCACCGGGACACCACCAGGACAATACCAGGGCACCACAGTCAAAAGGCATCAAAAGGCTTCGCCGCATAACTTAAAATTGTTTTCCCTCATGTACTGGCGGGATTTGTACTGGCGGGTTCAGACCTGACCAGCATGCTTCCCCATGTACTGGCGAAATTCAGACATTTCCAGGCCGACTTGAGGCCCAAAAAGGCCAATATAGTGGAACTTGCGACGAGTCGCGCTTTGTGGAGGTCGCAGGCACTTGGGAAAAATGCACCTTGCAGTCACCAGGTGCGAGGCGAGGGCGTGCTATCCAGGTGAATCGCTTTTGCTGGTACTGGTACTACTGGTACAGGACACAGCAAAGCGTGCTTGATCCTTTCCCGCAGTTGCTTGTCAACACTCGCTGTGTTGCATTGCGTCAATGCACTGACAGATCACCACTTAACACAACTCGTGAACTTTGACCGTAGGGAGACCTGCAAGCCCAAAGAAAGAAACGAATCACAGTATCGACTGTACCAAGGCACGCCGTGGCCCCTTCGCTTCACGGTAACCGCTGGGCCATGACGCTGTGGGTTCATTGATCACTGAAATGGACAGCAGTGGGCTGCGCAGCACTGTTGTCCAGTCGCTTTTGGAAGGACAGTCCTGTGTAAATCCAGGATATCCTCGATGAAAGAGCAGCAAGTCTCATTGCTTCAGTTAATGCAGTGCCTGGTCGATCGGCTCCCCAAAGAATGGGAGCAAACGAGCGGGTCATAGTCGGTGATGGTGATTCGTTATATTCATAGTCATATGATGGATATGAATCGACCCTGTGGCATGCATTGAAGGTGTTGCAATGTGTTGCCGAGGAAGTGCCGCAAAGGGAGTCTCCATCTTGCGATTGCGACCAGGTTGCGAGGAGAGGATCCGGCCTGCTGCTGGCTAGGCTTTTGTCCCAGCTCTGTTTGCTCGGCTGAAGTGTCAAGCTCTCGTCTACACCACTTGCCCTGCCCGGATGAGAGCACCTGAACTGTCCCAGGTACGCCTTGCGACAGCCAGGAGGCCAGTCAATCAACACAGTGGTCGCAAGTGCTGTAGGGCACACCCGGTGGGAAGGTATCCTTGTTGCCTTCGCAAAGGCCCGACAGCTCATCCGCGTCTGGATTCCTGTGGTGGCACGGCTTGGCATTCTTTGCAACAGCTTCTTCGACAGGTTGCAGCGCGGACGTGCACATAGCAGATCCTAAACTTCGATCTGCAGATCACTGTGAGTGCTAATCAGTCTTGGACCAGCCAGGCAATTCCATGTACAGGCGACACCCTTTGTAGTCTCCGTCTCAGTACTTGCAAACGCAAGACTTTCGACACCATGCAACACAGGCCGACAGCAAACAAAAATTCGCTAGCTGCGCTCCTAAGTCATGTGCTGTTTGTCTGACGAGTTTCATGAAGCCTCCAGGCCATCTTCAAAAGCTTCACTGTTCCAGTTGGTTGACATCCGCTAGCAGCATTTGGCCGACATGCCAGCTATGTAAAAGAAAGACATGCGGAGGATTTTTGGCTGGGCACGGGTTGCACGCGATGGCGTCACGCACACAAACCAGTTGAGGAGGGCGTTCTCATGCTTGGTCTCGTAGGGACATTTTAAGCTGTCTGGAATAGCCACCGTTTCAGGGTTGTAGATGTACAGTGCGCCATGTCGCTTCGTCGCTCCGACAGTCCCAACAGTTGGGGCACGGCATCTGGTGAAATAAGGCGCCTGCGGCATGTCATGATTGAAACGGTGATGGAAGCTTCTTAGAGTCTGAGAGACTGTCCGGAAGGTCTTTATCTCCTGCAGATCGGGCCTCATATCTGCACCTTGCCTGAGCTGCGAGGGCAGCATGACACTTGCACCGAAGGTCAGTGTCGTCAATCGCGACTCCTTCAGCGATGCGTTGACGCAGATCCTGAGCGAGCTTGAAGAGACGCTTTTGCACGCGAGCCTTGAATGCAACCGGACAGTTTCTTTAAGGTTGAAATACCCAATACCCACTTGCATAGCAGACGACCATAGACGACCGCTGGCTCTTGCAAGGCATGAGCTCAGCACGGGCTCTGGTCGCAGGCGATCAAGGCCCTCGGAAAAATGCGGAGACCTGTTTTCTCTTCCGAGTTCAGAGATCCTTCTTCGCGGTCGACGCCTGCTCTGCTGTCAGGGTCGAAGGCATGGACCAGTCCAGCGAGTCCGCCCTGAAAGAGGCGCAAGAGCACACGGCCTCTTCTTTAATTTTTCGAATGTGAAGACAGAAGACATGCTCCTGTCAACTCCAGGGTCCGGCTCCGTCGAAACTCAGCTTCCGTGTGCCTCACCGAGTGCAGATGCAAGTGGATGCAAGCGCATGCAAGCGGATGCAAGATGGAATTTCGAAGCCCATGCTCAGACCTAGGCTGACCCGATCCGCACTCGTCCAGTGGCAGCCACTTGGCAGGGAGGAAGGCCTGGGATTAAGAAGTGCTGAGAGCAATACTCGGCCGAACCCAGTTGCTCCAAATTTCGAACCATTCTCGAAGAATCTTGGAGGCACTCCCGGCGACATTAGCGTACACTATCCTGGGTTGCTAAGGACGGAGAGAACTTTACAGCAGCTCCAAGGAAGCGTAGCAGTGTGTCCGAGCTGCATGTGGCAACTTCAATCTTCCCATGAACATGGCAGTGCATTGCATGGTAGGCATCGTCGTTGCAACTCTGATTTCTTCCACCTTGCTGTAGTCGCTGTAGTCGGTCACCCAGGTCCAAGCCCTAAGCAGCGGCAGTGAGGCTACAGTTGCTAGTTGCGTAGAGGTGTTTGTGGCCCGTTTTATGCCCACATCTAGCTTTTGTTTTTCGTATGCTCCGGAAGCCAGCGAGGTCTGTCGAAAATCTACCAGCTCAGCTGTATCCTCGGGGCATTCTCTTTTGCTGCAACCGAAACTACGGTGGCAAAGGGAGATCAGAGACTGTATTGAAAGGGTGTCGGCGAAGCGGAGCGAATAGTTTGCAATCATCTTCGGGCAATCGAGGCTCGCCGCACAAGGTGCATCCACCGGAAGTCATGTGCAGCAGTGTATGTTTGCATGAACCCATACCTGCATGTCCAGGCGTTCTTGCTCCACTGCTGACCAGGCAAAGCTTTGCCAACCCGAAGCTGTCAGCGGTAGACCCAAGGACAGTGCGAAGGGCATCATAATTGTCATGTGTTCCCGACCACATATCCTCTGACTGATTGACGAGTCTCCGAGGAGCCTTCACAACACTATTGCCGAGAAGCGCGTCTCGGAGGAGTCTGAAATGAAGGCAGCGAGCCGTTTTTGCACTGCCCAGACGCCTCCTACCTGTACTGTGTTATATTCCGTCGCACACCAGCAGTTGCACCCGTCAAGACGCAGCAAAACCGGACAAGATCCGCGTGTGAATTGAAATGAGATGTTGTCTTTATCAGTTTGCAAGTGTTCAAGTCTGTTTCGGGACAGAAGCGATACAGAAGCGAATAGCAAGCGGACCCTCATTACTTTTGATGGTGCCGTCCCTATGTCAATTAATGAGACCATCCTCAACCCAGGTCGAGCACATAAACTCTACTCAGCTGATGTTGATCCCTAGGCGTGCTTTTGTTTCCTATGTTTGCAAACCATCCCGCGTAGTGCTGGGTTTTAATCCTGGCAACACGACATTGCGCGGAATTGGGTTCGGTGTGCAGCTGCATGCTCCGTGGCACTATCATGACATGTCGAGATGGGTCAAATCCTGGGAATACTTTGGGAAGCCAAGCGCTCATATCGCGCTCGAGAAGCGCAGTATTGCCATTTTTGTGGTACATATCTACGGCTAGTGTCGCTGATATGGCTTCTCCGAGGCGATTTCAAGTACCACCACTGAAGTGTACAAAGCCGTCACAAACCGGTACAAGCTCCGCATCACAGGCAAGGCAGATGTCCGGAAACAAAGACGAGGGCATCCTCCGTCTTACGATGGCAGCGTGGAAAGAGCCACTTGTTGTCGTTAAATCGCTGAAGTTGTTTGCCTTCGAACATCCGGCATCATTCAGCGTTGACTTGGTATGCTGCGGATGCAATGCTCTTGTAATCAGAGATTTTCACGCAGCCGTGCATGTCTTTCACCTTCGCTTTGTAGCATGTGCATCAGCAAAAAGAAACAGGTGAGGAGCACCCATGTGAGGGTGTTGTGTCAATCCAAGAGCTTCCAAGGGTGCCTTTTCATATCCCGAGCTCTCGAGGTTCACATTCCATGTTGATAATGACGAAGACGATGTTTCTGAGCACGAGCTTGAGGCGCCGATGGGGGCCGACTGTAAAGATGAATCTGTGGGCACCTGTGCGATTAGGTTACGGCTTGTAGAGTTTTCCTGGGCCGTTCGGATTTCGAGGTTCAGGCCTTCTGGGGCTCATGGCTTGTTGGGATGTTAGCTGTCAGCTCTTCGAGATTCTGCAGTTTCAGGCTTTGAGGTGTTGGTTCAGGTATTTTGTGGGTACGAGAGCTTAACGGCTTGCTGCTTTCGGGCTCAGGGGCTGGCAGTCTCGGCTTTCGGATACATGTATACTGTGTACATTCTTAATTACATCATTACATGGTGGTTCATCCTTACAGGAGTTCACTCCAAAGAGATCTGCGGGGCAGAGGGGCCAAGCTTGAAGCGCTGGGTATCTATGTTTTGTGCTATGGGTTTTTGCTTGTTTAGTTCCCGCCTTCGCCCATCTTCGGTTTTTTTGCCACGCAGGCACGTATTAGACAGACCCGTTCGATGGCGGGGAGGGCGGGCTCGTTGTTCTGGATGTGGACGAAGTTGGGGGGGGGGGTGGCTTGTAGTCTTGGATTTGGACAGACTACACTGGCTCGTGTTCAATACAGGTGCTAGTAAACCGGACTTGTATTGGAGCTGATCCCATAAATCTAAACCGAGAAGGAGCATTTTGTCTCGTAGTCGTGTTACTTGCTCTGCATTTGTGCTTCAGGTTGCTCTTAGTATTTACTACTCGTTCGACGTCATGACTTCGTTTGCGCTAGAGTGATTTGGCTTTGAGCTTCTCCTACTTCAGTGTCTTACGACTACTTCCATTTTGGGGAGCCATGGCCAACTTAGTCTGAGCTTGGAAAGTAGAGCAACCTCGTTTTGGTCGGCTGGGTGTTGCCTTCACGGCTCGGCGGCTTTGATTTGCTACTTGCAGGAACGTCTGCCAAAATGGCAACTGCCATTTTGGCTCAAGTGTCGGGACCGTGGGGTCCTTCAGATTTTTACTGCTCCGTCGCTGTCTCTCCCCTCGCTAACTTCTCGCCATGTCTTTTGGCTCTGCTGCCGCTGATGTGCTGACCGCCAGCATGGAGACGGTCGAGAGCTTGGCCGTGCCTCGTGACGAGTTAGACAGTGACACAGAGTGTGGCTGCTGAGACTGTGCCACCTTCTTGCACAATATGGAGGCACATGCTGATGAAGAAGTCAACTCCACTCTTACCTCCTTCTCCGCGGTGTGGAGGTGGATGATACCCCTCTGTCCACAAAGTTTCAGGAAATGGACCTGGCCATGGCGAAGCTGATGTCCAAGGGTGACGCTCCGGTAGTGTTTGTGGAGGAGCCGATTGGCCGAGAAGCTTGCCGGCCCTGCGACAGTCGATGTGGATGTGCCTGTTCCTTGGGACGTGCCTGCCACAGATGACTTTGTCCCTGAGAAGGGCACACTCAGCCCCTCGATGCACCCCCCTGATGTGGAGATGGATGCGGAGCCGACGCGCCTGGCGCGACCCTTTGCATCGGCCTCGTCAAGCCCTCCTTCGCACCTTGGAGGAGAACATCTGCTTCTGGGAGGGCTTCCCTGCAGGCTTCTGCGGCATCGGCACGAGAGCAGCTGACCTTGCCCAGCAGCTCACCCAGTCGGAGTTGGGGGAAATCTTCTCCAAGCTGCAGCCCAAGGAGTTGGCCCGGGCCTCGGTCGAGCGCGTCCTATTTGGTCAGTCTTCGCCATGTTCGGGAACTCGTTTTCGGCTCGCCACCTTTGCGCTGTGTGGTCGCATCTCCCCATCATCATCCAGGCGCACAGGCGGGGGAAGAAGAACAAGGAGGCCAACGACCGCCCCAGACAACGTCTCCAGTCTCCACCACTATTTCAAGAAAAAGAACTATGGAGACAAGACTGCGCATGTCTTCTGGGCGCGCGTGGAATGCGGGTTGGTGCTGAGCAGTGTCAGTCACTGTCAGTCGTTGGGAGATTATCGACAAGAAGAAGGGCGAGACGAGGGGCGGCTATGTTTGCCGCCGCTGCAAGGGTTTCTGGAGGAGCCAAAGGTTCCAGCAGATTCTTGTTCACCACCGGCCAGCACCGAGCCACAGCGGCCAGCGGCCCAGCTCCAGTGGATCCTGGACGAGCCGCCTGTTCACTAAGCCAACCGAGACCCCTGCCTGCCCCCTCCTCGCTGAGGTGGGTCTTTGCAATGCGGTCAAAGACCGTAAGGCTTGCAGCTCCCTAACGGAAGGAGTCATTGTCATAGTGGAGTTAGTGGAAGCGAGGCCATGTTTCGGATGAGGTTAAGACGAACCCGCGTACTCTTGCTCCCTTCGGGAGCAGTGGGGGAGACTCCTTGCGTTCTTCCTCCCGATGGCAGGTCAAGTTCCCCATATGGCGGCGATCATGCCACCTGGGACGACTGTCGTCTCTATGACCCTGAAACGTGAGTTCATGGACTTCTTAGGATTCTTAGGTGTCTTATGAAGAGTTGCGGTGCCTTGACCTCACTTCGATTCCTTGGAAGGAACATGGTGTCAGGCAGTTGCTCAACACACTCAGAGACAAGGAAGTCTCGCCCCACAAACTCCAGCAGGTTTGGAACACCCTCAAGTGGTTTAGTAAGAAGTTTGGTCTCTCTGCAATCGACCAAGCGGAGACTTTTGTCAGCAAGGTCCACAAGCCCATGAGGAAGGCTCCGGTTTGTCACGGAACTGGAGGAGGTTGCTGCCAAACCCCTCTCGGTGGCGGCCGCCTCCAAAGTCGATCTGATGGATTCCTTCGTCTGCGACCATCGAGCTTGAGGCATGGCAGACCAAGACCCACTCCGCGGTCGTGGTAAAGAAGAAGCTAGTTTTGTTCTGACTTGCTTGAAGTTCTTCTTCTTCGGGAAGGACTGGTGGAACCCTGTGGTGGCGACTTGGCGCAAGCTTTCTGCTACTCGGCGTGGACTACTTGCTCCCGACGGTGGGGAAAAACTACCATGGCTTCATCGCCAGTCCGGCACGCGCTCTCGACTGGCTTCGGACTGTGCTTGCCACGCAGGGCCTCAACCGTGACCTTTGGATCCACCTCACGTGTCTGCCCTTTCGGGTCTTCATGCCAGACTGTGCCTTCCAAGCCCAAATATCCCGGACTTACGACAACACCTGGGCAACTGGATGGCGGAGAGCGCGGCGGTGTACGAAGAGGAACGTTGTTTGGGGGCGGGCCCTGCTGCCTGCTCCACCCGTGCTCCGGCCCTTGCTGGCCCCGTTGGTGAGGCTTTTGGCCCTGACTTTGATCGCCCGCACTTATGGTTCGAATTGGAGGCCGGCCTTGTTCCTGCGGCGCGGACGAGGTCCCTCTTCTGGAGCCCCTGCGCCCGGTGTCGTCTCTTCAGACCCCCGGTCAGAAATCTTCCTCCTTGACCAAGACCTCCGGAAACCTTCAATGGACAAGATTGAGGACCTTAACGCCGTCGACTACCAGCAGGATGTGAAAGCCTTCACTCTCCGGTGAACAATCTACCCAGGGACGGTTTGACTGATGAGTCCGACTCCCAGGAGAGAATCTTCGGTGAAAGGTTCAAAAGACCTGTGCCGTCCAACAATCAGCGACGCACACTGGTAGCTGCGAGCTCAGTAAACACAGGACAGTGTCCGCGTGGGGCTTGCAGCTTGACGGTGGCTCCGGATGAATGGGCCAAACAGGCGCGTAGCACCTTTGAGTTTACCACGACAGTGGTCCGCGCTTACAACTTCTGGTTTGTACCTCTATATTGTCTAGTTCGATTGCAGTAGTAAAGATAAAGGAACGCCAATTTTGTGTTTTTTGTGCGTCTGCGGGCAGTGTTTTGGGCTCGCTGCCGTCTTCTGCTTTTCGGCGCCTCCACTTCCGACCTTCTTTTGTCTATCACATTTCTGGTCTCTGCCCGCTTCGCCTTCGGCTTTGGAACTTTTCGCCGACCCCCATTGTCTGCTTCTGCATTTTTCCTTGCCCAAAAACGTTTTGCCCCGAAGACTGGCAGTATCCAGAAGCACACCCAATATCTATTTCCCCACGTACTGCTGCAATTCCAGCGTTTCCGAAGCCAAAACGTGGTCCATGCATTGTAATTTATAGTGAACTCGGCTCTCGAGGGCACACGGATCTTGTATAAATGCCAGGACCGTGAGAAAATCTGTCGCCCACCGCAGCCGTAAGTTCGTCCCAAGGGTAGCCTAGTCGTATCGCGTCCCCAATCACCACAAGTCACAAGTCTCTGTACTCTTGACGCAACCTGACAACTAGTGCTGGGATTGAAGACGATTCGGGACCGTGGCCAAGATGCTGTCCCCCCAAAGTACCAGCGGATCCCGAAGCAGGCTCCCAGTAACCATCAATTTCTGTACGCTTGACGCAACCCCGGACACTGGTGGGCCAACATGCTTTCCCCCCGTATTGGCGGATCCCGGAGCACGGCCGAAATGCTTTCCCTCGAGCACTGGCTGTCCGCAGCCAAAACCACTTCAACAAATGTGTTGTTCGGCTCAGTTTTGCTGGCTGCCTCACGTAGCAAAGCTTCTTTTCTCCTTCTTGTCGTCGTCATAATTGTCCATATGCACAGTTGCGCGGAACCAAAATCCGGAGTGCCATAACCAGCAAAACACAAGCCCTTCCACTTTTCTTTCCCTTCCTCTCCTCTTCACCAGCGGCTGGCAACGGAGGGAGGCGGGGAGGGCGGGAGAAAAACCCAGGCTCACAGAATTTCACAGAAGGAAAGGCGATTTTCACATCAATCAGGGGTGAAACGTCAGCATAAGGACAATCGGGCGATTGAGGGGTGAAACCCGCAGCATTAGAAGAAACATGTCCAATCTTTGAGGTGCTCAAGGAGTTCGCCCACCGGGAGTGGCCGAGCGATCCAGAAGCTGTGGCCCAAGAGTGTCCCGATTTGCCAACATCGCAAAGAACCTGCTCCATTCTTTTTCTTGCAGTGCGTCCAAGAGAGTCGCACGAAACCATTACGGATGTCCGGCCTTGTCGTGAGTTGGAAAGAAGCAATCAAGAGGGTCATTGTGTCGGTCAGCGGGTTTGTGCGGCCGTACTCGCTTTGGCATGCACGATCGACATGCTGAAAATGTTGATGGCCATCATGGTACTGTAATATTCTGAATCAGCACGCCCGCACACATACAGGCCGCGTGTGTGATTGTGCGCAGTTCGCCCATGCGATACACAAAGCAGTCGTGTCAGTTCCGGTGCCATTTTGCCATCTCGAGGCATATGCCTCCTTGACCCGCATGCTGACGGCGGACTTGAATACCAGCAAGGTGCGGATCAGACCATGTGTGGAACATTTTCCCGATTCGCCAAGTTGCTGTACGTCGCTGTCATGTAGGCAGAATAGCATCGTTTTGGTCTGCAGCTCTCCGTACTTTGCAGTCTTTTGCAACTGAATGTTTGATTCCTTTGACTGGATTCGGCATCGACACGAGACAAGCTGTGTCTGTCTATGTTGACGTCCAAAATGGGTTCAGATCACGATGTTGGAGTGGATGGCTAAGAAGCTCGTGGACGCAGGGGGAGGATGAGAGGCGAAACTCCTTCACAGAAAGCTTCTGGAGGTCGGTGGGCATGCTTGTACATGTGTTTACATGTTCATGCACACCCCGATGTTGTTGTCAGGAGACACCTTGTCACTCGGCCACACTCGCGAAAACGGATGCTTTGGGACCTCTTGGGTCTCGTTCTGGTTATATGGGCGGCTTGTCTGACACACTTTCTGCCCGTAGGACGACATAGCGGAAAGACTTGTCGACCGAGTCAACATTACCCGACTTCCTGCTGCTGGGCCTACTCAGGACATATTTGCGATTCCCATGAACGCATTCGAGCAGCTTGGCCTCTGTGCAAACTGCATGCCATTTTTGGGTTCACTGACCATGACCATGTCAGTATGAAATAATACAGGCCCAACATTCATAGTCAATATGTATCAAGTCACAAGCAACCATCGTGGTGCATGGAAGGTTGACAGATATTGCCGTCCTGACAGTCGTGAGCCGGCCTCCAAGATGGCATCTCGCAACGAGAACGAAGCCTTGTTCCGGATGCAGATTCGTGGAAGCAACTTGCAGTGCCAAGACTGGACGAGCACCGTGTTCTGGACCATTGACCTTCCGACAAACTTCTTCAACAGCCACGTGCTGAGACGCCCGCTAAGTTCGTATCACGCTTAGCTCACAGCCTTCCCGCCCGCCATGCCCGCCTGTGAATGCCAGAAGCAGGTAGCAGACATTAGCAGACCTGAACAGGAGATTCTTTCTCTCAGTAGTTGTGGCTCTGATACTGATCAGTGTTTTTGTGGAAAGGCTTGGCATTGGCGAGTGACTCCGGTACCCTTCTTGCGAACCTTGGCTCGAGCGGTGCCATGCGGCGTGTGAGCAGATGCCATCAGTGAAGGCGGAATCTTGCTGCAAGAGGAAGCGAACCGTCGGCGTTTGTGTTGAGCAGCCCACAGCAGACCTGTGAGCAAAAAGCATGTCACAAGCTGTCAGTATGCTGGATCTTGAGAGGACTTTGCATTGGACACTTTGTGCAGGTACAAACCAGGACTGGCATCTACGTCATCACAAATGCCCTCACAGACCACCTGAAAAAACACACACAAGCCGCGGCCTAAGTTGCAGCAACTAGCGAAAGATCTCATGACAGAATCCCTACTCTTCGCTCCCCGTCGCCTCGCAAGTCTGGGACCCCGGTGCCCTGCAATTAGTTTCATCTGGGATCCCATGACACTGATGAGAATCCGAGTGGACCAAGTTTGGGGAATCGAAATTGTGAAAAATCACCAGGTACTTCGGCTATACAAGACCTCAGTTGTACAGAATGACGTCCGTGAGGACCACTGCTGTTTGCGTGCAATGCTTGACGATTCTGCGGTGTTATCTCACAAGAAGGATCAAGGTATTCATGCTCACGTGAGCCGTAATAACCAGTATTTTCTGGTCGAGTGGCTTAAACTGCCATGCAGCACTTGATCCAAAGAAGCACGCGCTCGGGACAAATCGAACAGTGGTGTTCTTGACGCACCAATTCGGCGAACGTGCAGCTAGAGCTTATTTGCAGACGATTCCTGAAGCTGTGCAAGAAGTTGCAAGTGACAAGCGCAAGTTCGTGGGTTTCTTGAAATCAGTTTTCTTAAGAGAAAAAAGGCGCATATGGAGGAGCCCAGAAACGAAACAGGTGCTTTCTGTAGGCGGAGCGGGCTTCAAGCTCAAAAACTTGGGCTTCCTGCCGGACAGGTCTTTCCGGGTAGCTAGGCTTCAGCATCCCTTCGTCCTGTCCAAGAGGGCATGTTTCGGCGAATTATCAAAGCTGGCAAATGCTGGCAATCTTCCTTCCTTGATGACGGGTGGCAACACCGGCTTTGGAGCAGAAGATTCAAGTGTGCACCTTGAGGCCCTTAGTCCTTTAGTCCTTTGTCTTCTACACAGAAGTGTAGTCGTTCTAAGCTTCTCCATGGGGATGTTATCGGAAGTTGGACTTTGCCTGAGGTTGCAGTGGAAGCCAACGGCACCAAGGTGCCTCCATTTTGCTGCCGATAGTGTTTTGAAGTCGCTGTTGTGAGGAAGTTTGCGAGAGGTTTGCTCTAGCTGTTATCTGTGCTAAGTCCTTTGTTAAATGCGGTTGTGCCTCCGCAAACGACTCTCCCCACAACAAGAACCTCCCCTGCAACAGAGGAAGACATGCAAATTAACATGTGTGCATGTATCCTTGGGATGGACCTCGTGTAATATCAAGGTGTTGTAATGTGTTGTACAAGCCAGTCGGTAGGTACTGTGGGTAAAGTCAGAAGCTTCCAGCTTTCCGCGCTCGCATGCAATGGCAAGGTCCTGGAAAAGACGCTGCGAGCTGTGGCTATGTCCTCTGCAGACCTGCAGAAGTCCACTGGCTTTCTGCCAGGCTCCTGCAAACTGTCTGTGATGTGTTCAGTGCTGTGAGCCTTTGCTTTGCCAATCTTAAGCTGCACAGCCCACTTCTCTTCGGCCCATGCTGTCCATTATCGACAGGCTTCGGCTGGTTGGGACTTCGACTGGATCGCTTTGATGCAGTCCGTCCTGATGCGCCATGCCTTCTGCGTGGGCTTGCTCAGTGCAGCTAGCAGCACGGGCAAACCTGAGAGACTACGGTGGATGGTTGACTCAGAAGTTTCCGGAAACAAGCCACAAACGAGCACCAACTAAGGCCCGAGTCAGGTCGGAGCAAGTCCAAACGAAGGGCCACCACAAGGAAACTGCACCTGTTCCCAAACATGCATGACAGGGCGGTCCCCCGTGCAAAGCAGGCTTTGACGGAAACGCTGCTCTTCTTGAGGTCCGTAGCGAAGTCACTAGTCATTGGTTGTTTCTCAAAGGTTCTTGCAAGCATGATGAGAACATGTCAGGAATCTTTGCGTGTAGCTTCACCCAAGAATGTCGTACTGCCGCGTGTAGAGATGTGTTGACTTCTGCAGCTCAGCCCGATGCCGTATTTTAGATTGTGTGTCTATCTCGCAAGATGGGACATACACTTGCACGACTCGGACTTCTCCGTACGAGAATTGGAGCACGTTCGCCCCGCTTCAGGTGGCCAGGTGGGGCGTCTGCTGGAGCCACCCATGATCAGTGAGGACACGGTCATCAAGGCAAGTCTTGCGTCTGCTCCCGTCCTTTGCCCTTTCCATTTGAGTCGAGGTGAAGAAGACTGTTGACACCGAGGGCCTTGCGGAGGACTTCATGGAACAACTGACCGATGGCGACGAGATCTCTGCAGCGCGCCTCGGGTGGCATTGGCACGCAGCAGCGAGTTGAACGACGTTCGATGTCAGTCTGGTGACGAACCACCTTTTAGCTGCACCTTGACAGCCTGCATTCCCTGCATTCGATGACTGAAAGCACGGAGTCTTTTTCCATCGGTTCTCTGAAAAGAGTATGAACTGGCATGAAGGATTGAAAAGCAGCGAACCGAAGGCCGTGCGCAGAGCATCGCAGAGCTGGAGGCAGAACCCAAGCTTTCAACGTTCAAACCCTAACAGAAAGGTCGCAGATGTCATCGAAACAGCAGGTTAGGGCTTGCCATGGCTTGCTGAAGCACACCAAGAACTCTCACAAGCCCCAAACTGAGTCAACACCGAAGAGCTCTAGGTCAAAGGTACCATCAAAGCCATCCTAAGCAAGATCGCCCGATCAGTCCAGATGTAGCAAACGACTTACATGTTTTGGGTTATAGGCGGGGTAGAGGCAACTTCCTGAAGATTGTTGTTTGCAAGTCGCAGAGTGCGACCACCTTTGCTCTTTCATCCTAGGTAGACTTGCATCGACATTCCTGTAAATCCGGCACGTTCGTTTGCCCAAGTGACAGCGTTCCCTATGAATGGCACGAGCTTGTTGATGGCAGCTAATGGCCGCAGCTTAAATCTCGAGACAGGTTTGGAAAGGGTAGCACTGGAAGGAGCCTTGAAACATTGACAATGGGTGGACGGAGAAACGTAGGGAGCTGTTCTGGTTGTGTCCTCCAATATTCGCCCGTGCTTGAACATCCGAAAAAGGGTTGCGAGGTTCCGTTGCGGTCTTCGACAATCCGAGGATTGGTTTCTTGAATCTTCGTGCAAGCATGCTCCTTTAGGTTTAGGAAATGTTGTCGAGTGCGACGTCTGAGGACGCCTGCAGGTGCAGTCAACTAGAGTATAGGCTGAGGTTGCCATGGCCGTGCATCGGAGCACGGAAAGCTTGAACTGGAGCGAAAGCTAGTCAGCGTGCTGTTGCAGCACTGGGGCCGAGGTGTGCTCGCTTTGTAGGCGAAGCTGCTGCTGATCGCGTGCTTCAAGCAGCACAGATTGCACAAAGGCGCCTGCAGCAGGAGCACTTGTCCCAGCAATGGGTTTTATTGCCGGCACCGGACAGCTGCTGTGCCCACAAGTTGTTCACGTACGCTTGTGTTCTGCTTCCCCGGGCTCTGTGTGTGTCGTCCAGGAGAGACGCGAGCTGCAGCTTGCGCTGATACCCTCTGTCGGATCTGCTCTTTCTCTCGCGAGTTTCTCGCACACCGAGGTTCCCGGCTGCTGGAGTTTCTAAATTGGAACAAGTAAATTGGTGAAGCGTGTGATGAAGTGGACACGTCAAGAACATCTTAAACTTCAGGGAAAACTTAGTTTGGTGGAAGTAGTGCCATCGGGTTTTGGGAGCCTGGCTTGGACGGTGCAGCTTTCGAAGGTGCTGGTGCTGCTATGCCCGTGGGCCAACGTGGCGACCGCTTCGCACTCGGTTTTCTTGGTGGATGCAACTCTGGTTCCTTCTGCGCTCGTATCCCACAAGCCAGTGTCCCCCCTTGGGTCACTCAGGAGGTGCCTGGAATAGCGCCAGTGAGACAACGGCACAGCCGCAAGTTCATGGAAGCCATGGACATACTGCCGCCGTCAGGATGAGAAAAGGACTGCTGTGTGAATCACGAGGGGGGCGAAATTGATGCCTGGCAATGTCGGTCAGCTCGGTATCCAGGCTCCCTGCAGTCCAGCCGAGTGCAGCGATCGTGAGCTGCAACGCCATAGTCCTCCGAGGTTTCTATCGAGCAGGCCATGTGGTCCTCGATCCATGGGAGATTGCAGTACAGTACCTCAGGACGTTGCATGATTGGCTACCTTTGGCGGGGGATTAAGGTTCTGCTGAGCGCTCTGCGACCTTCTGTGAAGGACATGGTTTACAATCGATATAACTGTGCCAGCCTCAGTATTCCAGACGACATTGCCCTGAAGCGAGCGGCCGCACCCGCACGAGCAAAACAATCGCGAGGAAGGAAAGCGGGTCGCCAGTGGGTGAAGTTGCTTGCTGCGCCTCCATCAGACTGTCCACATCCGCAGCAAGGCTGCGAAGCCGACTGTGGCTTTGCTGAAAGGCTTGGCTTTTCCGTCACTCAAAGCAGCCCCTGCAAACAAAAAACTCTGGGCATAGCCGGCAAAATTCCTGGAGAACCTGCATGCCTCTCCAGCACCTGAGCGCCAGACTCACACTGGCAATTTTGCGTTGGATGAGCTAAATGGGCTGTGGAGGAGCGTCATGGCACTGCTTCATCGTTGCACTGCAGCAAGTAGAGTCCGGCATTCTCAAGCTGCTTCATGAAGACATGGAGACTGGAGACATCATGAATGCCACAACTCCTCAGCCGAACTGCCAGCGAAAGATTTTCCCGTCGGCAGATGTCCACCTGTGTCGCCAACACCCATGCACTCTAAATTTGTCGACTTCTCTGCTATTTTGCGGCTTGGCAGTCGCCACCGTGGCGACGCCAAGTGCCGTGGCGCACCGAGACTTTCTATTCGACACGCCGGCATACCTCTCGTGCCAGTTTGAATTTGTCTGAATAGTTGCCTAACTTCCATGTGCAGTGGCAAGCACTCTCCTTTTCTTACAGGTTCTGGCATTGGATTGGTGTTTCCTAGCTCTGGATGCTGCATTCGTCAACGACAACGACGACGATGGAGTTCTGCCGGCATGGTTGTGGCAATATTGTACGTCCGGGACTGGAGTCCAGAACACAAGAGTTTGAAGCAGAGGGGCTGAGCCTTGCGCGTCGCGGCTTTCAGTTGAGAACGACAGTGTTGCTGCCATGGAAGCCGTCAGAACTGCTCGGGCAGTCAGAGCTTTTGACAGGCGGGCAACAACTACCTCAGCTCCTCGTCCGGAAAGAGTGCTTCTTACTCTAGGTGGTTTACAAAGAGTACTGCCAGTATCATTGATCAAGCGTGCACTTGCCTTCAAGCCTTTGCGCTGTCTTGTTGCGTCAATGCACCTTGGCATCTGGCCTTGGTTCGAACCGGCATAAGTTCTATTCGAACTGAGGAATAATGCGCATGTCAGCGACTCAATGCTTGAGATCAGGATCTGTTGGAAGGGTGTATCCGGCCCCACCTGACAGTCCTGACAGTGCGGAGCTTGTTATCGCTTCTCGAGGTCGCGTGGACTGAAGATCCTCAGGATCTTGCGCTTGGTGCGTCTGGCCAAGCTGTTGGAGTCTTAGCTTCTATATGAGATGTCCCAAATACCGTACGGGCACGGCCACGACCATGAGAAGCGCAGGGGCAACGATCGGTTTGGGTCTAGGAAGACCTTTACTCGCCTGCCGCCTTACCCACTACCTCACAGATGTTGTAAGCCTCGTAAGCATGTGAAAGCGTTTGACAAGCACGCGTGATCGAATACATGACAAGTCAAGTGATGGACTTTGCAGACTTTGCATGCTTCCAGCGGATCTGCGAGGTTTCCCAAGTTCCACACCGCCACACCCCCGGATGGGACATGTCTTTGGTCAGAGCGGGGCGAAATCCCGCCCCTGTAATTTTCACGAGCTTTGCGGGCCATTTCCGAAAGGCTTTTGGGCCGAGTCGAGGAAAGCGAAACGAAGCTGTAGGAATGGCCTAGTGGGTTTAGCGAAGTCTCCAAGTGTCCTCCGCATGATATTGTGAACCCTATCTGCCAGCCCGCAAGTTTTATCGAAAGTCCACTCAAGGCTTCGTAGCGCGCGAGACTGTGTCGTGGCAGTAGTGGCATGAGTAGGTTTGAGCCAATGTTGTCTCGCATCGAGTTGGTATCGCCAAGCTTTCGAGCCAATTTCAAGATGGCATTGTCTTCTTCCCGCTGAGTTCGCCACCAGGGTCAAAAGCAGAGTATGCAGGCCTTTGTGGCGGTGCAATCGGATGCGGTGCGTCTCTCATTGGGGGCGCCATGGCCCCAGAGAATGTGTTATAGACTGGGACCTTCCAGCGAGTTTGGGGGCCGTTTTCTGGTAGTGACTGCAAAGGCACGATGCTGCATGAATCACCTGGCCTCGCTGCACCCGTGTGTCAGGTGGTTTGCCGTCGTCATCGTTGTCGTCATGAACCACTATGCTCCTTTGCGCAGTGTGGCAGAATGTCTTTTCGTTGACAATCCTCTTGGCAGCAACAGTCGCAATCGCAGCTGCAAACTCAAACGAAAGGTTGCATGTGGCTGGTTTGCATTGGGCTACTGGGACACCATGGTGCCTCGGCTTCCTTGTCGTCACGTCATGTGCTGCATTTTCTGGACAATGCGCAAAGCCTCCAAGGCTCCCATCACATGGGTTGCAGCCCACGACCTAAATGGAGTTCTGGCCCCAGCGGTGCCATCCGCACGAGTCTGTGCGTTTGTGCGCACTTCGGATGTCGGCAGAGCCTGAAGTGCGAATAAATGAAGAGATCAATCGTTGTATCTTTGTTCGTGGATTGCCAGGACATGAGTCCCTTCAAGGGCCAGCTTGGGTACCAGTATTTTACGCCGGGACCCAAGCCCCATCAGTTTTAAGAGAATCCAAATTTCTGAGGAAGAGTTTTAGTTTTTATTTATAATGTCACCTAATTATCGGTTAGGTGGGCTGGGATTAGGGGATCAGTTTCGCGATCGCAGGAACAGCTCTGAATGTTTTACTCCGTCGCCATTTTGGCATGAGCCGATCGGCCGTGCCCGAAAACAACGGCGTGGGAGGCAAAGTATTTCGGGATAGATCATTCCTGCAATGTCGTTCCCACAACCGGGCGGCCGAAGCTCTTTCCCGCAAGCGGGTCCGAGCTCATCGGCAGTTCGCCGGGATGTTCCATCCTTCGGACTCCCATGGCGACTTCCGGCTCCGGAGAATCCCCCAGAAGGGTCTGAGGGCCTGGGAATATCGCTCATCTGATTTGTTCGTTCGGATTGATGTTGCCGTCTTCGACAATGTCGATGCGCACACCCGGTGATCGGGGCTCCGTTCGGACCTGTGAAGATCGAGTAAAGTTTTGATCCGATCGGAGATGCGACCAACTCCCACGTTGCGGTCGCAAAATGAAGGGTTTGCTATCTCAGGCTGTTCAGCGAGCTTTGTGAGCGGCGGAGATCGTAGAAACTGGTCCCCTAATTATCGGTTAGGTGGGCTGGGATTAGGGGATCAGTTTCGCGATCGCAGGAACAGCTCTCAATGTTTTACTCCGTCGCCATTTTGGCATGAGCCGATCGGCCGTGCCCGAAAACAACCCACCCACTCCGCCCTTTGTTCTTTTCGGGAATATGGGGGATCCTCTTCGCCAAACTCAAGATCGGGTCGGCTTGCACGCGCTCGCCTATGGAACCCACGACGGGCTCTGTCGGCCTTGTGTTGACTGCGGGCTCTACACAGGCTGTTTTTGTGATGGCGAAGGTGATGGTCAGGAGTGCTATGCAGTCGATCGAGTCCCCAGCGAGCGCTGGGCTGCTAACCAGCTCACGCCGCTGTGCACAACCTGCGATCGTCGGCACGATATGTGCCATTTCTGTCGACGGATCCCTTGGGTCACGCCGCCTGCTCATCGCGATCGCGATCGTCATCAGCCGGCTGCTGATCGCGCGCCGCCAGCTGGGGCCGATCCACCCCGAGCTTTCGACGGTGCGGTCTTCTCCGTGGCTCCAAAAGCGGGTCCGGCTCATCAGGGCCGGCTCCTGGGTGCGGGGCGGATCAACGTCCGGCCCCTGCGGGTCCGTTTTACTATGTGGCGCCGGGACAGGCTCCTCGGCGCTTGGATGAGCTCTCGCCGAGTGCAGAGCTCCCGGAAGGCACTCAGATCATCGTGCCCCAGACCCAAGGCCGTCCTGCACCGGTTCTCAAAGCCCCGCCGGTCGAAGCGATTTTTCCCGCTTTCGACGCGGGCTATCGCCATGCAAAAGCGAAGGCGGCTCCGATTCCTGTGCCGCTCGATGTTGATCCCATCGAGGAAGACAACGATCCGATCGACGACTTTTAGTTTTGCTCGCTGGGACTATCGCTCATCTGATTTGTTCGTTCGGATTGATGTTGCGGTCTTCGACAATGTCGATGCGCACACCCAGTGATCGGGGCTCCGTTCGGACCTGTGAAGATCGAGTGAAGTTTTGATCCGATCGGAGATGCGACCAACTCCCACGTTGCGGTCGCAAAATGAAGGGTTTGCTATCTCAGGCTGTTCAGCGAGCTTTGTGAGCGGCATCGTAGAAACTGATATATATATATATATATTTTTTTTTTTTTTTGTTTATCTTTCTGCTTTTTGGTTTCAGTGCTGCTAAATTTTGCTTTTGAGATGTACCGATTTTGCTTTTTAGCTTTTCGCTTTTCTCATGCTCTTGCAGAGCTTTCGCGGAGCTTTTGCAGAGCTTTTGCTGCTTTTGGTTTTCTAGCCTGCTCTACCCTTGCGAAACTTGAAATTAAGAATGTCCTGCAATTCCGCGATGACTCTATGCCAAGCCAGCCGGTCATTCGATCGTTGTGTTTGCAAGTCAGGCTTGCGAAGCTTGCTCTGAAGTAGTGCAAGACCAAACCGCTATCTCGAGCATTGTGCTTGCAAGTGCCTCGATTCGTTGAGCCTTGCACCTTTGCCGCCCATAGGTCCACTCGTAGCCTTTAACTGTTTAGGGAAGGGTTGGGGGGTTCGCTGAGGGATCCAGGTTTCAGCTTGAGCAAGAGTGTGTTGTGCGTGTGCGTGTGTGTGTTTGACTGTCTTTGCTGGGGATTTGTGCCTGTGCAAGACTGTATGCATGATAACCAGATGCCAGATTGTGTCAAGTGTCTTGAGTTTTTTTAGTGTGTTCGGCTTAGCCCAGTCGGTACACCAGATTGTCTTCTTGGATCTTACGGGGCATCCGCCCAGGAGACTCAGGACACTGCGACTCAGGTGCAGGACCCGCAAAGGCAGCCAAAGTGGCAAAGCCACGAAGAACCTCATGCCGTCTTGATGAACCTATTCCCAGCCGGTCATTCGAGCATCGTGAGGGGCTCGGGGGCTGGGTGCCGACCCCGCCCAACCCCCTGCTTTAGCATTCCCGTATATTCCCGTCAAAAGAGGTGCCGGAACACTTCCCCCACTTTTCTGGTGAATGCATGAACACCGGGCATGAAGAAGAACCTTCTGCAATACACCGAGAAATCAGGTCCAATTCCAGCATTGTGTTTGCATGTACGGCAGGCAGCTCGCCTCACCTAGCCCCCCTCGATTTGTACCACTACCACCACCTCACTACCACTACCACTACCACTACCACTACCGCTACCGCTACAGCTACCGCTGCTACAGCAACAACAATTATTATGACTACGACTGCGACTGCGACTGCTACTGCTACTGCTACTGCTACTGCTACTGCTACTGCAACTGCCACTGCCACTGCCACTGCTACTGCTACTGCTACTGCTACTGCTACTGCTACTGCTACTGCTACTGCTACTGCTAAAGTACTGCTACTGCTACAGCTGCTACTGCTGCTACTGCTACTGCTACTGCTAC